CGCGAAGCCGGGCCCGGGAGCCGCGGCTTCCTGGCCGCTGGGCTTCTGGTGCCCGGGAACTCGGGCCCAGAACCCAGATATGCCGGCCAAAAAGGAGGTGTCACCTTGAGGTTCTCTGCTATTGCTGTGAGCTGCGGCGACAAGCAGAAATGGCGGGAGGTCAGGGACCCCCCCCCCAACCTGGAGTCTCGGGTGAAGCTCTGGGTGGCTCTGGAGGACAATGCGGCTGACGGGGGATCTTCGATAGACGCGCGGTGCCTGGGAGTTGCAGATTTCGGTGTGGGGACCCGTGCCCGGCTCGGAGACTGGGGCCGGGCGCGGGGTGGGATGCGGTCAGAGTTTGAGGAGCTGCCGCCCGAGGCCTGCTCCCGACTCCGGGCGGGGACGGGGCGGGAACCAGGCGCGGCCGCAGAACCTGCCCATCACCCACCCATCTAGGGCGGCCAAGTGGGAGTGGATTTTTTCCAAAATGCCCTGAAATCCAGACTCACCGTTGCCCCACCTGCAGGCCCCGGCAGTGCCGAGTGCTGCCTTCTCAGGTCTACTTTGTTGACATCAGAACCCACCTTCTGGGCTTTGGACTGTTAAAGGGCCCTGTGGGGTTTTGTTGACGTTTGCAGGAGAGATTCTTTACTCTGTGTTCCCAGAAGAAGGGAATCCCCGCTCTGTTACAAAGTGAGGCAAGGAAATACATGGATGTCACATCGGGCATTTGGAACTGTTTACAGTGTCACAGTCACATCGAAAGTTCCCTTCAGGGAAACCGAGTGGTAATGCACTTCCTACCGGGAGACACGTGGTTTTCAGCGTTAAGTTTTCTTCCTATTTGTCGTTCCTCTTGAAGCAGCCTGGTGGCTAGACCTTTGGAAAGGCCCTCAGTTAACCAGCCCCAATTTCAAAATCAGAAATCGATGAGAAATCCTTTTCTGAAACCAAATGTAATCTTTGGAATTAACTATAGCCTTTGTAGGTTGCACTCGTTTTTCTTGTAGAATATTCCTGGCACACTAGGAGGAGATGGTGCTGCAGGTGAGGAAACAAGTCCGGAGGGCGGCGGGATGGGAACCTTTACCTGGAATCGAACACCATTTGAACGTGCAGAAACAAGCAAGTCACAGAGTGTGCAAAGCGAAACAGAAGCAAGCTCTGCCTCCCCCAACTTGATTGTCCTGCTTGTAGAAATCTCCTCTGCAGGTTTCCTGGCTAGGATGGCTGTTGCACCGAGTGGATAAGCCTCCCTCCCTTTCAGCCTTGTTTCCTCTGCCCCTCTGGCAACACACTTGTTCTACCTCCACACTTGGGCACCCCCAGAGGTGTTGCCCTGAATTCCTGCCATGCTGCTGCCCCTTTTGTCTTCAAATCAGATCTGACCATGCTGTGGCGAAAGACTTATTCAGAGGAACCTGAGGTCTCTTTGTTTCCTCTCTGTCATCTCCTTCACCTAGATGGTAGCATTCATGTAGGGCTCAGTTAAGGGCTCTAAGGTTTGGGGAAATGTAACCACTGTAGCATTTATTCTAAAAGAATTAGGAGGGCCGGCACTGTGGTGCAGCAGGCAGAGTTGCTGCCTGCATCAACGCGGTCCCATATGGGCACCAGTTTGAGTCTTGGCTGCTCCTCTTCCCATCCAGCTCTCTGCTAATGGGCCTAGGAAAGCAGTAGAAGATGGCCCAAGTGTTTGGGCTCCTGCACCCACATGGGAAACCCAGATGAAGCCCCTAGTTCCTGGCTTCAGCCTGGCTCAGCACTGGGGTTACAGCTTCTAAGGAGAGAACCAGCAGATGGAAAATCTCTCTCTCTCTCTCTCTCTCTCTCTCTCTCTCTCTCTCTCTGTGTGTGTGTGTGTATGTGTCTTCCTACCTTTCTGTAACTCCGCCTTTCAAAATAAATAATTTAAAAAAAAGATTCAATTCCTTTGAAAACTACAAGAATTAGTTTGTAGTTTGGAGAAGGTGTCTATTATCAAAGTAGTGTTGAGGAGTTACAGACCACGCTATTCTGATGCCCCGGGAAGACTGATTAACTGAGAAGGAACCAAGTTTAGCGTTACTATGCTAGCTAATGGCCAGGTGTTGGCCGTAGTGCATGAGATGCTGTGTGGGACGTCAGAGTGCCTGGGTTCCAGTCCTAACACGACTCCAGGTTACAGCTGCTTGCTAATGAACATCTTGTGGGTGCCAGGTGATTCAAATAGTTGAGTCACTGCCGCCATGTGAAAGACCTGGATTGAGTTTCTGGCTTTCAGCTTGAACCTGGCCCAGCCTTGGCTGTTGCAGGCTATTGTGCATACCTGTGGATGGGAGATCTCTCTTTGTTTCTGTGTCTCTCTGCCTTTCAAATAAGTAAGAATAAAATAAAATGTTATCTAACAGTGGAGAAAAAAATGATCAGACTTGGTAGTAAACTTTGCTCACCTTCAAACTTTTGATTTAATTATTTCCTTATATTATCTTTATATTATTGCAGTGCTTTTTTACAAAAAAAGATTTATTTTATGTATTTGAAAAGCAGAGTTACAGAGAGAGAGGAGAGACAGATCATCTATCCACTGGTTCACTCCCCAAATGGCCACAATGACCAGGGCTGGGCAAAGCT